AAAAAAAAAAAAAAAAAAAAAAAAAAAAAAAAAAAAAAAGGTCCAAAGAAGAGACATTTAAATGGCTTTTCAAGACTCTGAATCAGGGGGACAGCAGTGTTATCTTGCGGGATGCCCAGCTTCCTCAAGAAGCTGCCAGAAAGAGAAACAAATCCATTCTCCTTGGGTTAAACCCTCGCATTTAGCTAAGTAAGATGGCATTTCCCAAGTGCTGTGTGCTTCCTTCTCACAAAGAACAAATTCCATCTAGGTTATCCCAAGATTGGTATAAGGTGTCCCGAGAACAAAGGGGTAACCTCGCTGGTTTGGAATCCACAGCATCTCCAACCTGCTCTTTTGGGGAAACAGCAGATAGAACTGGAGATAATTGATACCTGCAGTACAGATTCTTTAAGGCATATGCAAAGAGATGCTTCTGTTAACAATGCCCATTCAGTATCCTGGATCTCTCAAAACATAATTTAGTTTAATAATTAATAAATGATAATGATAGTGATAACAATTTACTGTTGTTCAGTCATGCCTGACCCCTTGTGACTCTATTTGGGGATTTCTTGGCAAAAATACCAAAGTGGTTTGCCATTTCCTTCTCCAGCTCATTTTACAGGGGAGGAAACTGAGTTAAGTGACTTGCCCAGGATGGTACAGATAACAAGTGTCTGGGTCTTTGGCTCTGGGGTTTCCCTCTGAAACAGCTTCTGGCTTCAACTTGAATTGAGAGGCGCCCTCTTTCCTATTAGAGATAGAGTGCACTCTCTTCACTTAGACTCTCATGGCTTAAATTCGGGTTCTTTTAGGGAGTCAGACCCTGCACACACGCGCGCACACACACACACACACACACAAGCACAGTATTAGATTTAGGAAATCCCTTAGTTGCTATTCTCCCTACAAAGAGAGTCTTTTAGCTACATAGCTTTGGTTGTAATCGGCTTTTTGCCTCTAGAAGAGAGTCTTTACCTCCAGAAGCCATATTTTTTTTTTTGGAACAGAGCAGCAAGCCCCATAAGTAATTTGATCTGTCTCTGAACCCCTTCCTCTTGATCACTAGGGGTAATCAAATTAATAAATTAATAAGTATTCAATCATTTATTAATAAACTTATACTATGTACTAGGCACAGTAGGCCCTGGGGTTACTGTCCCTACCTTCCAGGAGCTTACATTCTATCACAAGGTCTCTGACCTGGCCTTCTATCTGAATTTGTGTTAGAAAAATCCTCTTAATTCTTGCTTAATTTCTGATTTCCAAACTGCACTCCTTCTGAACCATTTTGGGGGCTGTGTTTTTAACCCACTTCCAAGAACTGGCTGGGTCTATGACCATCCCCTTCCCACATTATCTTCGCAACTGTGGGATCTTTTGGTCTCACCTGCAAATGAAAAAAGAATGACAAAGATAAAAAGCAAAATGTTCTTTCCAAAACATCTCTGCACGGAGATATTGACTTCCACTTCAATCTCTTTCCTCCTCATTCCTGTCTTTGCTGGGCAACATGCTACCCTGCATAAGGTTGGCAAAGGGTTTTCCATAGGACAGCCCAGTGAGGTGGGTAGTATGTCATTCCCATTTATAAACAAGGAAACTGGGCTCTGAGAGGTTATGACTTACGTGCAATCATATGAACCCAGGGCAACTGACTGCAGGACCAGCACACGATCCATTACACCACCTTGGCCACAAGAATTGAGTGTTTTTGAGACTGAATGGTCTGGGCGGTGATAATAATTACAGCTTGTTTTCTATGGCACCTCAAAATTCGCAAATCACTTTTCTGACAGCCACTTTATAAATCAGGCAGTGTAAATATTCTTATCCCTGTTTTACACAGGAGGAAACTGAGGCCCAACCAAGTTATGTGACTTCCAGCTAGGAAGCACCTTATCCAGGATTGAAGTCCACTGATCCTCCCACCATGCCACACGTTGTCATGCCGAGTGAAAAGTGGCACCACAAACATTCTGAGAATTGGGGAGATGGAGGAAAGGGAGGAGACACACTGGCCATCTCTATATGACTACGGGGGAATCTGAGGAGTGCTGAAGAAGTTCTCCCTTAGATTTGCTTGGGGGATGTATTAATGTTGAAAAAGTAGAACGTGTGGTCCTAGGTTCTTGAAGACCAGTAGGTCCAAACAGATAAGCAGTGGTACATCTGGCCTTAGCACTCCAAGAAGTCCATCTCTCTTCCTGGGAGCTTATAGCCCTATCTAGTCACAGGATTTTTAAAGCTGGAAGGGACCTTAAACATTATAGTCCAACTTCCCCATTTCACAAATGAGCAGAGATTTTGAGAGATCACATGACTTGCCTAATAATAATAGTATAGTGCCTTTGTATAGTGCTTCACAAATATTAACTCATTTCATCCTCATCATAATTCTGGAAGGTACATGATATGCCCATTTTAGAGATGAGGAAACTAAGGCAGACAGAGTGACTTGCCCCTGGAGTTAAGTATCTGAGGTTGGATTTGAACTGAGGTCTTCCGGACTCCAGGTCCAGAATTCTGTTCATGTGGCTGCGGCTAAGGCCCCACAGGTGGTTAGTTTCCAAACCCAGAATTCATTTGTTTCCTTGACTCAGTGTTCTTTCTACTGCCTTCATGCTCTCCTGTCTAGTCCTTAATTAAGCCAGTGAGCCCAACGGGCTGTAGTGCATAGAGTGTTGAACTGGGAGTCAAAAAGCTGAGCTCAAATCCTGTTCCTATTTGTACGACAATGGGCTTTACTTCTTGGCCAAATGGGGAAATTGAACCAGATGACCCTTAAGTTCCCTTCTATCTTGAAATCGATAGTTTAATTACTAATTGTCAGAAGAGAGCAAGGAAACTGGCTTTGGAGTCTGAGTTCAAATTCTGGAGTCTGGAGGGTTCAAATTCTCATTCTGCCTAATTCACATTTCTAGTACCTTACTTTGCATTTGTACGCCCAGAATTAGACACTTGACGGACTTGTCATTTGATCGCTCTGGGCTTGTCTCCTCAGCTGGAAAGTGGCAGACCAGAGTAGATGAGCTCTTAGGTTCCTTCGAGAGCTAGAGAGCTTACTGAAGTTTGGGATTTGGAGAAAGGCATGCAGCGTTCAGGGACCACCGAATAGATCAATCTGTCTGGACTTCAGAAGGGCGGTGATGTGAAATTAGCCTACACAGGCAGTGAGGGACTTCAAGTGCCAAGCCGAAAAGTTTGTGTTTTATCCTGGATGCAGTAGTGAGACATGGTAGGTTCTTGAGTATGGCAATTAGATGGTCAAAGGGTCGGTCTCATTTTATTTTTATTTTAGCCATACTATAAAATAAATCTGTTGGGCAAGTCTGATTTATGTGATCATTGGCCACTGACTGGTAATCCATACCACTGAGGCACGTTAGATTTGTCCTTCAGGATGCCCAGTTGCCCCGCAGCAGCAATGCCCAGACATTTCCCCTCATTGGATTTCAGTTTCCCCAACTGAAAAATGATAATTTTGGAGTGGGTCATCCCTAGGTTCCCTTCTAACCTAAATCCTTATGATCCTTTGGCCTGCCAAACCTACACTTTATTTTATATCCTAAAGAAAGAGCTACATGGTACTGTGGATAGAGTGCTGACCTGGAGTCAGTAGACTTAATTTCCAGGGTTCAAATCTAACCTCAGACATTTACTAGTTGTATGATCCTGGGCAAGTCACTTAACCCTGCTTGCCTCAGTTTCCTCATCTGTAAAATGAGCTGGAGAAGGAAATGGCAAACCACTCCAGTATCCTTGCCAAGAAAATGGGGTCATGGAGAATTGGACATGCTGAAATGACTCAACCACAGAGAAAGAGCAGCAAATGCTTGTACTTGTATCCGTGGAGCTTCACACGGTGCCTGGAACACAGTAAGTGCTCAGTGAATGTTTGCTGCCTTGCTTTACCGTGATTTTGGAATCAGAAGACCCTGGATCTGATCTCCAGCTGTGCCACTTACCAGCTGTGTTAAAATTATTCTCTTCTCTGGCCTCTGTTTCCCCATGCATTAAATGAGAGATCTGGATGCAATTAAATTAAATTGGACCAGTATTTCTGCAACAGTTTGAACACTTAAAGGCAGTATATCCTAGTAAATAGAATGACTGCCTAGGAATCGGGAAGACCTGGGTTCAGATCTTGTCT